GGCCCTAGACTTGTATTTATAAGGCTCCGGATGTGGGTATGTGGATAAGAATGATGGATTCCTCCTAATCTTTAGTTAATAACTGATTAACCATGTTTAGAGATAGGATTTAGATAGTTAGGAACCTCTAGAACTGAAAAGATCTCGTGAAAACCTGTCGAAACCGCCAAAAAACGCATTTTCGGGTCAAACCTGCGCGACGGGCGCTGCTGACCAGCGGGGGGCACGGGTCGGCGAGGTCTGACCCGCGTGGGCGCGGGTCGGACTGTGCGGTTCGACTTGCGCGGGTGCGGGTAGTTCGGCTCTTTTGCTGAACTGTTTGGTGTTTTCTGACTATTTCGTGACTTGTATTGCGTATTTCTTCATTCCGTTGACTTGCATACTTTGTTAACTTGTTTCACACGCTCGTTAGGTTCTTTATGGCACTTTGGATCTGCCTGACGAGCACGTCGGGCACTTTGTTCGCCGTTTCGCTTCATGCGCTTGTCGGCGTCAGATAATCCTCTTAGACCCGAACAACGATGTTCGTCATCTTCTCGAGCTATGTGCGGACACCCATAGGTATTTTTAGATACCTACAGATACCCCCTCTAAAGTATTTCAGACTCATTCTTTTATAGAAGAGTCGGAAGGCTTTGGATAAGATAGGACTTTTCCTCAATCTCGTAGAGGGACCTGTGAACTGCTTCGATTCTTGACTTCTTCAGCATTCACTCTATTCAGTGTTTTGTTGAATAGATAAAGTTTTCCCAGCGCTGCGTTTATCGTCTGACCGTTGTCGAAATCTTGAACTGAAGTTGAGTTTCTGAATTTAGCTCGTGTCATTGAGTTGACTTTGAACTGATCATCTTCGTCAGAAATTTATATCTGAATGCGATTAAACTCCCTGGAATCATCATTTGCCTTATTTTGGCAAAATTGCTGATGCGTTGATCGGTATCAACCTTTGCTGCAACACGTTGATCGGTGTTAACACAGTTTATACATCCATGAATAATTTGCATGTCGTCACAAGTGCTGATTTTTAGATATGACAATACAACTAAAGTTACCATGTGAAACATGGTTAGGAGTCCTGAAATGTCAATATTTTTAATTATAGATGTTTATTATAGATGTTTTTAGATATGTATATCATGATAAACGGAATTCATTCCTATATGAGATGTTCTTTATTGTGTATCCAATCCAGAAGAGACTAACATTGTTTACAAGGAAACACCAATTAAAAACAAGTGAAAGAAAAGCTTGAACACGATAACTTCTTCATCTCCAAAATATTTGAACTCTAGAAGCTTAATAACAACAAACATAGGCGTGCAAATTTCAATTATTGAAATACTAGTTCACCTTTATTATTGCAACATATGGCTTCTCATCCTCAGACTCAGGATATAATAACACCGGATCTTCCTGCATCAACATGGGGCTCTGTTTGTTGATTTGTTAATTACTGAACTATTGCCATTTATATGATTACTTTTTGCGGTTGACTGTGCCTGTTGAGGGCCTGGAGCATATGAATTTTTGAGGATGCTACTAGTTATGTTGATTGGTGGTGAAGTTCCCTTCTGTTGATTTTACATGATACATGTCATATTGTCTGGCATCAAACTATCAAGACTGCCAAAGAAATCAAAGTACTATACCAACTTAAAACTCATTAAATCATGCATCAATCCCCAGTAATTGTAAGATAGATATGTATTCCCATGCCAAGTTTGTGTATAACTCGTGTCAGATTCTTTTATTAATGACTATTATCTTGGTATGTTTTTGTTATTATACAGGTGAGGTTGTTCTATCTAATTTGCTTTGGATAGTTGTTTGCATTAGTAATGAAGTGTTAGAGGGGGTCACGTGGCTTGATTACTGGTTGTGTGATGGAATTCTTATGCATGCTTTGGATAGTGATGGAATTACTTGTAGTGATGGAATTCTTACTATTTTTTGGTGAATATATTGTATTAAAAATCTTACTATTATTTGATCTCGTTTCCTAATACAGGATGGAAGATAATCAGAATGTCTCTATTTTGCTATTTGATGAGGATACTGCTGATAATCTCCTCATTCGCATTATCAACATGGCTGCACAAATAGGAGGTCTAGTCACGACTATGCTGATTAAAGTGACGGGGAAGGACGAAATGGTATCAATCACATAGTATTATATAAAGAGTTGTGAATGATTTTCAGTTCGTTTGCACACAATGAGGACATAAGAATCATGATTTCATCCTTTGCAATGCAATCCTTTCCTGAGTTTCTGAAGTGTTGATGCTTGAAAAGTAGGGAAATGGAAACATGTTAAGATACTGTTCATGGTGATTGTTAGCAGCAGAGGCAGCTTGATCAAGAGAAGTTGTGGTGGAGCTCGGGTTCGGGCGATTTGGGGTTGAAGGAGGTGGTTCAAGGGGTGCTTGGCGGCATGTGGTCGGAGGGGGAGGTGGTGTTGGGGGTGTTTGGCGCGGTGAGGGAAGGTGAGCGGAGGAGGGTGGTGGCGCAACGACGGCGGCCACAATTCAATGTTGAAACCATTTATCTTGTATTGTTGTGATAATTTGATGTTGAAACTATGTACTTGTGAATTTTCTTGTATTGTTGTGATAATTTGACGTTGAAACTATGTACTTGTGATAATTTGATGTTGAAACTATGCTCTGGTGATTTGTATGACAGTTGAAAAATTTTGTGTGTTATTAAAGATTTGGGGTTGTATGTTTGAACAATTATTGCAATTAAAATTTTTTTAATATAGCATAAATATTAAAATAAACATCAAAATATTCAAAGATTGATTAATATTAATATTATTATATTATTTTTATTATTTTATATTAAAATAATCTTAAAAATAATATTATTGTATATTATAACTATTATTTATTTAATCATTTGATGTTATGTCAAGTTAAACTTGAATTTAATTGAGCTATAAATATAATATTATAAAAAGATGTTATACTAAATTGTCCCACTTAAATTGTCCCATTACCCATTACCCCATTTTACCCTAATTTATCCCACTTAATTATCCCATTGGGTAAAATTATCCCATTGGAACAATTTACCCCAAATTACACCAAATTACACCAACAAATAACCCCCCCTTAGTGCAAAACTGGGCCAACTGCGCCAAGACTAGTCCTGGCCCAGTTTTGTTTAGCTTGCCAAACACACAGCTATCACGACTACAGCCCCTAACTACTCTCAAACTATATTAGAGAAAAGTGTGGGCAGGATTCTCTTGTGAGCCATCGATTTTGGTTAATTAAAGAGAAGTAGTCTCCTTATCGCTACTTGATCCTGGGAGTCAAGATATGCTCCTAGTGGCGCATCTGTGTCATAAGAGTGTACTAATGAGTACCTCGTACAAAACAATGGTCTCCTGTTTTTTTAAGCATTGCATTTTGAACCTGCCTCCCTCTAAGATTTAATACATTTGATTTGATTATTGTATGCTCAAAATTAGAAATCATATATCCTGCTATATTTACTTAAATGGATATTGTTCACAATACAGTAATTACTGTAGGATAAACAGTAAGTTCACATTCTTAAAAAAATTTATTATTCACACTATAGTGATTTACTGTGGTATTCGCTGTATTGTAGTATGAACAGTAAAACTTGGATCTTCCCTGTTCAACCTAGCTGACGATAGCAAAGTGACATTCAATAATGGCACACAATACAAGTTAGTCAGTTTCCTGTGAAGAAGAAGAGACAATTTTATGGTTTTGCAAGTACATGCTTAATTTTATAGTTGCTGATGGTGGGAATCCACACGCTCGCACACAAGAACCACACGATTGGGCTAGTTCTATACTCGAATGAACAAATTTTCAAAACAGTCTCAAAAAGATTTTTATTTTTTAAAATTGACCCGATTTTTTTATTTATCAAAATCAACCCACTTTTTTCCATGTGGGCTTAATGAAGTTCCTAAACCGTCGGAGTTCTAAACAGTTAGGTTTGACAACCCCGACTATTTAGGAAGGTGTTAATCCCCAATTAGAACTCTTAAACCTGAAATTTTTATGTCCTAAACAGTCAGGGTTGGCAACCCCAACTGTTTAGAAACGTCATTAAGCCCACATGATAAAAAATAGATTGGTTTTGATAAATAAAAAAACGAGTTGATTTTGATAAATAAAAAACTCTTTAAGGCTGTTTTGAAAAATTCCTCTACTCGAATGGAATGATGTGGCAGAGCGACACGCACACAAGTAAACACATGTCTAGTCCTCGGCAAGCCACACGCAACCAGGCTGTCATTATAATAGTATAGTTACGGTTACCGAGAGAGTGTAAGCATACACACCTGTAGACTTTATTGTACTCTACTTTTTCATGTTCATGTTATTAACGGTAAAATATGTGAGACCCCTCAAATTTGTCATGAATCAAGTTATGAGAAAAGGTTCGTCTCGTCATTCATCATACAGAGTGTAAGTTCATCCTGTCAACCTTATTGCACTGATTTTTTTCTTCTTATATTGTTTTTGTATTCAAGCGAATTAGAAAGAATAAGAGATATCCGTGTTTACTTGAAATCAGTGATGAGATAAGTTAATCATCTTATTACACTAACAATAGTATGAGATTAGTACATAAAAAATGAGTAATGCATTGTACAGCATTGGATGGGATTTCACTCACTAATACGAACCCAGAGTTGCCAGGCTCAAGACGTCCGCGAGACGTTTAGCTTGGACTTTAATTAAAGATTTGGTTATTCGAACATTTTTCCAAATAAAAGGTAACCATTCAGAAGATGTGTATTCCGACACTGCATTAGCGGCAAATGTAAAGCTGAGGGCACTACATTTTTCCCTAATACTAGTGCAGAAAAACTATAAAAAGGCTACACAAATGACAAAAATGGCAGCGTGAGACCTCAACCCATAAAAAAGAAAACAGCTAATAACTCCAAGAGGATCGCAATTGAACCACCTTAGAATCTCTAGCCAGTGAGTACATAAGTACACACAATCACAATATTGAGTTCTGAGTTTCGCTTTAACGTATATAATTTGGGATATCAGTTACAAAAAGGTGGTAGAGCAAGTGAGATCTGATGATGGTGGCAGAACAAGTGAACTCAATCAGATCGCAGAAATGATATTGCAAATCCCACAGATAAAACTAGAATACATTAGTACCTCCAGGCACTGACACGGGACATAAGAACCAGAAAGCAGTACAAATTCTGAACTGATTGAGGTCAACAGAAGAAATCAGTTGTAGAAGGTGAAGAAACTTTGTTTACATCTAAACGGCAACACTGTTGCTAGAAGTCTCGGTCTACAACCGAAGGACCCTCAAGAAATGGTGCACTGCAGAAGTTAAGGAAATTCGGGCACGCTTGAAGATGACTATCGTCTTACTGGTGGCACTACACCTCTACCAGGGGGACCACCTGCACGACCTGCAGCTTGTGCCTGCACATTTAAATAGCTCTAAGTTTTACGGCTGAAAACAGTAGCAGCATGCATTTGAAACCTACCAGCACAATCTCCAAGATGCCATACATCATTAATCTATAATGCACATAAAGATGGGACAAACCTCACACCAATATTATCCGAAAAACAAATTAAAAAGACACAAATTGCTACTTTAGGAGTCTATCTTTTATATGAATTCACTTGATATACAAAAGTTCTCCCAGCTGACTAGCAAGAGGCACAAAAGCACCTAACAACAATGCACAGGGACACACCCATATCCATACCTGGTGAAAAAAAGTTGAGCTACCTCCTCCAATACCCAATACAAAATAATAGAAGAAAATAAGAAAGGAAAGGAAAACACTGGCAACCAAAAAAGAATCGAGATCATAGAAGAAAAGTCCAATCGGAAGGAAAAGAACAGGTGAAGGAAAATAGAACAAAATTAGGGCCAGTTGAATGACCTTGAGCCCAAGGAAATTTAAAATAATAGCAACTTTTTAAAAAAAAAATAATAGCAACTTTTATATCATAAGGATGTATAACAGCCGAATACGAGACAATCAATGGACGCGTTGCTACGTAACGCGAGGATCACGACTCAACAAGTCAGACAAACCTCGTTTGACAAACGAACCTCGTCAAACAAACGAACCTCGTCAAATAGGCGAAACTCGTTTGACAGACGAACCTCAACGAACGAGCGAACCTCGTCAAACAGACGAACCTCTTCAACCAATTGACGAACCTCGTCTGACTTTGAGAACGCTATGGTCACACCCTCGTGCGAATACGTAGCTCGTCTGCATGCTACGAAGCAGTCTGCGAGGCAACCTTCGTGGCGCCAAACAGTGCCATCTCGCCCCGATGCATCCGTGCAAAGTGCAAAGTACGCCAAACAAAGCGCCTCAGACCGATTAGCCCTAATCCAGGACCTACGACCCACGGGAACTTATGAGGGATTAATTCGAATAAAACACTTCTCGGCTTGCCGTTGGCAAGCCTCAAATAATGGACCTTTTGAAAAACCAAAACATTAGCTTTCCAGTAACATAGCTGCCCAACTTTATTGTGTATGAGGAGTATTAATAGTAGTTAATGGATGTTTAGCATGATTTAATTGTGTTTTTTTTAACCAAATCAACATTTTCTCCTCATCTGATCACATCGGGCAACAATAAAAATGAACTATAATCAGAGAAGTCTAGTACCCCAAAACTACCTTAAAAAAACAACAAAACCATAAACTAACAAAAAGGAACTGTCATCCAAAAAAGTAAAATAAAAAAAGAACAAAAAGAAATTGCTATAATTATGAACGGGCGCGCTATTACTTAAAAAGTGCAGGAGATTAGCATGTACAGTGAACTAATGATTTGGACTAGACGGGGAAACAGAATCTTAATTTAGGCATCGCCTCAATTTAACGCTCAATTAAGTAAGAGTCCGTTGAAATTTACGACATAAATACCCCTTAAACCCTTATTTCCCAGATCAGATCGCTCTCTCTAAAACTTGCCGCCTTAGTAATCCTATTTCCATTGGGATTTCAGTATAATAAATAAGGTATCCCTTAAACCCTTATTCCCTATGATAAAACCGCCTTCATAAAGCTCCCCTCAGTTTAGCCTCTATCTTCCGCTCTTCTCCACAAAAGTCTCTCTCGAAACCCTAACTCAAAAGTTTATGGCCAATCGATCGAGCTCGGAGTCGGCAAAGTTTGGAGGTAAGCTAGACATCAATTCTCCCTAGTTTTCGATCTTTTACGAGTTTTTTAGTTATCGATTTCTCAAAAATTCATGAGACATCATTTCTCTCTCTCTTTTTGTTTTGAATTTGAAAGATTTTATTTTATTTTCTTTCCCCTTTCTGCACAAAATCTTTTCCGAAGCCCTAAAGCTGATGGATTTCCATCTTTGTCGGCAGATCGGTCAAGAAATTGAGGAGATTGGAAGGGGAAAAACTTGGAAGCTGCAATTTAACGGCCAGGTGTGAGGTATATTACATCGAATTGCACTAAAAAATTCCTCTTTAACGGTTCTCTCTAATTCGTTCTTTCTTTCCCCAATGTCTGTTCTGAAACCCTAGTCCTGAAGCTAAAGGATTTTTCTTTATGGCAGATCGATCAAGAAACGGAGGAGCTTGGGGTGTTAACAAGTTGTTGATAAAAAAAGAGAGGAGCTTGGAAGTGGCAACCTTAATGGCAAGGTACCTTAACATCGTGCTACCCATTTTTTTCCTTCAAAATTTGTTACCTTGTTATTGTATGCACTTATTATTGTATAGTTTGTTTCTGTATGTAAATATCTTCATTAGAACTTAATATAGATGGATGACTACCATTCTACTTTTTCACGCATCCAGTCTTATCATATATTCATATATATGTTTTTGGTTTAATGATTGTGTCGTCTGTATTTCATCATTGTTTTGCTCTTCTTTAGTTGTTGTAAGTGACACATCGACTTATAATTATCACTTGTCTTTGGAGTTGGATATTGAGGTTGTGTCAACTGATTAATCCTAGACATGCTTTTTAAGATTGTATAGTGTCAAATGTCAACCTACATTAGCCCATTTATAGCGATATGGTGGGTGTCACAAGTCTATCCCCTTGTAGGCATTTTTAATTTACTCATATTCTTGACCGGAGATGTATTCCAGTTTGTTTGGACTTGCTCATAATGCAAACCAATTTTTACACACTAATTCATGATTTCTTCACTTTTAGGGATTACCTCCTTAGGTTTCCTAGCATTGTTTTATGGCTGGATAATTATCAGACCTACATTAGCCCATTTATAGCGATATGGTGGGTGTCACAAGTCTATCCCCTTGTAGGCATTTTTAATTTACTCATATTCTTGACCGGAGATGTATTCTAGTTTGTTTGGACTTGCTCATAATGCAAACCAATTTTTACACACTAATTCATGATTTCTTCACTTTTAGGGATTACCTCCTTAGGTTTCCTAGCATTGTTTTATAGCTGGATAATTATCAGACCTATTAACTCTTTATCCCTAATGCACTACTAATTGTGGTTCGACTTTGTTTATTTAATGATCGTATAAAGGTTATGTATATTATGTTTTGTAAGCATATATATATTTAAAACAACTTGTGAAATGCAAAACAAGTCAACTTATGTCAAAGTGAAAAAAATATATATATTTAAAAAAACTTGTGAAATTTATAAAAACTTGAAATTTTTGAAAACTTGAAAGTTAATGTCGAAATTTAAAATTAAAGTGAAATGATGACAAAAAAAGTTTAAATATTGATCAGTTTGAAAATTGAAGTGAAATGTCCAAAAGTTTGAGAAATTGGAAAGTTGTCAAAAAGATGAGAGATTGGAAAGTTATCAAAAAATTGATATAAGCGAAATGCATAAGTCAACTTATGTCGACAGAGGTACACAAAAAATTGTAAAGTTCGCAAAATTGCAAAACAAACCAACAACTTATGGCAAAGTCGAAAAACGATATTTGAAAATTTTTATTTTAATTTTTCAAAAGTAAAGTGAAATGAGAAAGAAGTTTGAGAAACTGGAAAACTTGAAAATTGAAGTGAAATTGGAAAGTTGTCTAAAATTTTGAGAGACTGGAAAGTTTGAACAAGAAAAAAGTTTAATAAATTGAAAAAAATTTGAAAGAATGTACACGTGCGAGCAATTAGAAAGTTTGAAAATCCAAATGAATTTTCAAAAGCTTGAGAAGTCGGAAAGTTGTACAAAAGTTCAAAAATTGGAACAAACTTGAACAAAATTTTTAATAAATTGGGATGACTGAAGGAATAAGCAACATGCAAAACAAGTCAAGTCAGAATAAAAAAAGATATTTTAAAACTTGTAAAGTAATGAAAATTTGCATTTTTTTTGCAAATAAGCAAAGTTTATTCCAAAAAAAATAAATTAAAAGGATACCAAAAATGTTCGCAAAAACAGAAAACCATGAAAACTTGAAAGAAAAATTTAGAAAGATCATCTTGAAATTTTAAATTAAAGTGAAATGTAAAAAAAATGCAAAAATTGCAAGTTTGAAAAATAAAGTGAAAGTCCAAAGTTTGAGATGTTGGAAATTTGCCAAAATATATGAGAACTTGGAGAGTCTAAAACCGAAGTATGGACAACTAAGAGAAATGCAACACATGCCAACAACTTATCTTAAAGTTAGAAAATCCAAATGAATTTTCAAAAGCTTGAGAAGTCAGAAAGTTGTCAAAAAGTTCAAAAATTGGAACAAACTTGAACAAAGTTTGAGACGTTGGAAATTTGTCAAAAAATATGAGAAATGGGAGAGTCTGAAACTTGAATTATGGACAACTAAGTGAAATGCAACAATTATAAACAATTTATGTCAAAGTGAAAAATAAAAAAAATATTTGAACTTGTAAATTTAGGGAACGTGAAAAAAAAGTTAGAGAAATTGAAAAGTTTTTAAAGTTAAAATTAATCTCAAAAAAGAGAAAATTGGAAAGATGTAAAAACTTAAAAGTTTGCGAATTTAGAAAGCTTGAAAAAAATATATAAACATGTGAAAATGACATTTGAAAATTTTGTGAAAGTTATTCTATTGCTTAAACAATTAAATTTTTTTCAATCTTGAAAAATGTTTAAAAGATGGGAAATTTTAAAACATAAAATGAAATGTCAAAATTTTTGAGAAATTTAAAGATGTCAATAATAAATTGAAATGTTCAAAAAACATTGTGAAATTGAAAAGTTGAAAACTTGAAGAAAGTTTAATAAATTGAAAGTATGAAGAACTAAGCAAAACTAGAAAGTTTGACCAAAAAAATGCATACATGCAAAAATGGTATTTGAAAATTTTCAAAAAAGTATTTTATAATTTAAACAGTTAAAAAATTTACAGACTTGAAAAACGTTAAAGAAATTGAAGAGTTTTAAAACTAAAATGACATGTCAAAGAATTTGAAAAGTTTAAAAAACTTATAGAAAATTTGAGAAATTCAAAAATTTTAATATTAAAGTGAAATATCAAAATAATTTGAGAAATTTGAAGGTTTGTAAAACAAAGTTAACTGTACAAAAAAAATTGATGAATGATTGAGAAATTGAAAAGTTTGGAAAATAAAGTGTGAACTGTCCAGAAAAAATTGAAAATTTTTGAACTAAGTGAAATGAAAAACAAGTCAACTTATGTCAAAGTGAAAAAGAAAAGATATTTAAAAAACTTGTGAAATTTATGAAAACTTGAAATTTTTGAAAACTTTAAAGTTTAAGTTGAAATTTAATTAAAAGTGAAATGATTAAAAAAAAGTTTAAAAATTGAGTAGTTTGAAAATTAAAGTGAAATGTCCAAAAGTTTGAGAAATTAGAAAGTTATCAAAAAGATGAGAGATTAGAAAGTCATCAAAAAATTGATAAATTTAGAAGTATAAGGAACTAAGCGAAATGCATGAGTCAACTTATGTCTACAAAGATACTCAAAAAAATGGTTAAGTTCGTAAAATTGCAAAACAAACCAACAACTTATGATAAGTCGAAAAACGATATTTAAAAAATTATTTAAAATTTTCAAAATTAAAGTGACAAAGAAGTTTGCGAAAATGGAAAACTTGAAAATTAAAGTGAAATTGGAAAGTTGTCTAAAATTTTGAGAGACTGAAAAGTTTGAACAAGAAAAAAGTTTAATAAATTTAAAAATTTTTGAAAAAATGTACATGTGCGAGCAATTAGAAAGTTTGAAAATCAAAATGAATTTTCAAAAGCTTGAGAAGCCGGAAAGTTGTCCAAAGGTTCATAAATTGCAACAAACTTGAACAAAATTTTAAATAAATTGGGATGACTGAAGGACTAAGTAACATGCAAAACAAGTCAAGTCAAAATAAAAAAAGATATTTGAAAACTTGTAAAGTAATGAAAATTTGAATTTTTTTTGCAAATAAGTAAAGTTTATTCCAAAAATTTTAAATTAAAAGGATACCAAAATGTTCGCAAAAACGGAAAACCATGAAAACTTGAAAAAAAAATAGAAAGATCATCTTGAAATTTAAAATTAAAGTAAAATGTAAAAAAAATGCATAATTTGCAAGTTTGAAAAATAAAGTGAAAATCCAAAGTTTGAGATGTTGGAAATTTGTCAAAATATATGAGAACTTGGAGAGTCTAAAACTTGAAGTACGGACAACTAAGTGAAATGCCACACATGCCAACAACTTAGGTCAAAGTGGAAAAAAAAAGAAATTCGAACTTAAAAAATTAAGAAATTGGAAAGTCTTGAAAATTAAAATTAATCTAAAAAAAGATGAGAAATTGGAAAGATGTAAAAAATTGAAAATTTTGAGAATTTGGTAAGTTTGAAAAAAGAAGTCAACATGTGAATATGACATTTGAAAATTTTGTGGAAGTTATTCTATAATTTAAACAATTGAAAACTTTTCATTCTTGAAAATTTTTGGAGAGATGGAAAAGTTTAAGGCTTAACATGAAATGTCAAAAATTTTGAGAGATAGCAAAGTTTGTAAACAAGAAAAAAAAGTTTAATAAATTGAAAAATAAATTGTAAAAATGTACACTTGTGAGCAATTAGAAAGTTAGAAAGTCCAAATGAATTTTCAAAAGCTTGAGAAGTCAGAGAGTTGTCAAAATGTTCAAAAATTGGAACAAACTTGAACAAAGTTTGAGGCATTGGAAATTTGTCGAAAAATATGAGAAATGGGAAAATCTGAAACTTGAATTATGGACAACTAAGTGAAATGCAACACTTATCAACAATTTATGTCAAAGTGAAAAAATAAAAAAGATATTTGAACTTGTAAATTTAGGAAACTTGAAAAAAAAGTTGGAGCAATTGAAAAGTTTTCAAAGTTAAAATTAATCTCAAAAAAGAGAAAATTGGATAGTTAAATGGATATTTACTTTGATAAATACAGTTAAATGGTATGTGAGTAGTATACCAAGTGTTTTGAGTATAAACAAGTTCTTTCGTGAGGAAGGAAAGAGTCGAAACATACACAACGGCCAAAATCATGAAAACTGGAAATTCCCAGTCCGGTTTACCGCCACGGTCGACCGCAGCCGGTCGACCGCCACGGTCGACCAGGAGAACAGCAGAAAGTTTTTCTCTTGTTTTGAGTTGGTTTCGGATTTCTAAAGCTCATATTCGTTTTCTTTAGTTTATATATCAAATTTTCACGAATTTCTCAGTTTTTCTAAGAACCCTAACAGCCACCAAACCCCCACAAACCCTATTTTGATTCTTGGAGAATATTTGAGGCTTTCAAGTGGATTTTCAGGTGATTTTTTGGCTTTTGGAATGGAGATCTGCTTTGGCTTGGCATCCTAAACGTTTTTCTACAAGTTTCAGGCGAGTTCATCTCTGCTAATCCCCCTCCAAGTTTTAAAACGTTTTTAAAGGGTTTTTAACATGTTTATTAGAGACAAATTGACTAGTTTATGAATAAAAGTTAATTCTTTTGTATTATATGTATAAAGACTAGGTCTTTCCATGTGAAAGGTTTGAGAACGAATTTACAGAAGATATTTAAGATCTGAACATGATTTAAATGTTGTTTAATCTGATGATAGATGATTTGTGCTTTGTTTCAAGTTCATGTGCATGATTTAGGGTTTCGGATATGAATTTCATATAATATATCATGTTATATACATTGTGTTGCTTCCAGAAGTTTTTATCTGCTTTTT